TAAGCTGGCCCTCTTTATAGCTTTTGTTTCCTGAGGTTTTATACACTGTGGGGATTCATAATGCCTGGCTAGATAAGATTTAATGCCTCCCTGGATGAGACTAGTTGAAAAGCAAAGAAGTAGTGTCCTCAAAATTGGGCCTCCTTTGAAGTTTCTGGGCTGAAAACAGACGGATCCTTGTTGCCGTTCAATACATTCATCCAGGGAGTAAATGCTCAGGAAAAACATTTATCTTTGGTGGTAATGCACCCCAGGTACTCCCTGCCTGAACATAGCTTGTTCTAATCACAGGATACTCTCTATGTCTCTGTCCTGCTTATTAAGGCTTCTCACTCCTTTTTGTTTTTCTGATTCCCTTGTTACATTGATAACATTCACAATAAAAGTGGAGGCGGAGTTTGGCTCGGGACCTTATGCCACTAGAGTGTCTGGTCCCCACACCTTCTCCTTTCTCCTACTTAGGTATCTGGAGTCATCTTTTCATTCACTGCCTCAGGGTTTACTGGCCAAACCCAACAACACACCTTTTAAGAGGATCAAAATAAAAATGGCCATTCCCTAATCCCAGCCCCAGAGCTGGAAAGAGCACGGTCCCCTCTCTTCAGTAAACCGTCAGGAATAAACTGTCTTCAATTTGGTGTGTGTCAAACTCTGCAGACTCCTGCAGTCCCCAATTACACAACCCCCCCCTGGGGAAGGCAGAGGGTTACCTGCTACTGTACTTTAAAGGGTCCCTGACCGGAGAGCTGATGCCAGGTCGTGCACACACCCACTTTTCCCCTCACAGGGGAAGGCAGAGGGGCCCCAAATTCCTGTCCTTTGCACTGTTCCCATGTGAAGAATGGTCACCCAATGGAACCATGCCTCATGGTTTATGGTGAACCAAGCTGAAAGCCCCCTCCAGGGCTCCCTGACTTTAACGAGTTTCCCCTCTCCAATGCTTGGGAACTCTACTGACTCAGGCACCCCCAATATTTCTGTGACTCTGGGAATCCTGAGACCACACTGTCCCACCTAGAAATTTGCCCCTTTTCACCACCTGAGCTCCTTCCAGGCAGGGTTGTGTTTCCCTGGAGCAGATTTCTAAGGGTTCCAATTTTGCCCTCCAGGGCTATATCACTTTCTGGTAGCCAGCTTACTGAGGGTCCCTACTCCCACCACTTATCTTCCCATATATCACCTCAGATTCATTTCTCTGCACCTCCTTCCTTGCAAAAAATGCCTGGTTTTCTACTTGTAGAGTTCCAGATATTCTTTTCTTACATCTCAGGTTGAATTTATGGGTGTTCAGAAAGATTTGATAGTTATCTAGCTAAATTCAAGGTACCAAATGAAACGAAGTCCCCTACTCTTCCACCATCTTGCCTCCTACTTGAGTCCATTATTTTTTATTACAGAGTATTATTTCATTATATGGATATGTCGTGTTTTAACTATTCACCTATAGAAGATAACTGGGTTGCTTTCATCCTGGAGCTATTGTAAATAAAGCTTTATAGACATTTTTGTATGGGTGTTTGACTAAAAATGAGTTTTATTTTTATTGGGCAGATATAAGAAAAAGGGGATTGCTGGATCACATGGTAAATATGTTTAAATTTAAAACAAACTGCCAAACTGTTTTACATAATGATTTTACCATTTTTCTGTAAACTTCTAATGCATGAACATTCAACTTCCCTTTCTTCCTGATGAACACTTGGTATTATAACTATGTTGTCATTTTTTGTTTTTACATAAGCCATCTCAATAGGTGTTTAATGGTATCTTATTATTGTTTTTATTTAATTCCACTAGTGACTAATGATGAACATATTTTCATTTGCTTACTTTCTATCTGTATATCTTTTTAGGTGAAGTGTCTGTTCAAGTATTTTGCCCATTTTTGTTAGGAATTAATTTTTAAAATTAAAATAAAATATTATATGTGCAAGAAGTTACAAAAATAATACAATCACTATTATTGAAAAGAAAATTGGCATGGTTTTGATAATATTCCAGAAGACTACAGGAACTAAAAATTTGGATGAACAGAACACTGTTTTTTTGATAAATAAGATAGACTTTCTTTTTAGACTGGCCTGAAGGAAATCCGCCCAAGAAGATAATGAGAAAATTGTTTGCAAAAATTAGAGCTTACCATTTAGAATGATATTTAAACAATTCTTTAAAAAGAAACAGAATTGGTGTCTATTTTCCCTGATGATTTAATTATTTTGTTAGGTCTGGCCACATCATAAATGGCATTTATGCCTAGGAATGACTAACAGTATCTATATCTCAAAAACTGCTTCAATTTTGACTTATATAAATAATTTTCTATTTAAAAGTTTTCTTTGAAATTTTGAAAATAATAACCAAACATAAAACATTCTAGGGTTTCATAATACACAAATGTAAGTGGAAACAATAATAATGAATTTGTTCTTTCCTCCCATGAAGGAAAACTATTGGCAGTTGATCATGATATGTGTACATATATGAAAAACTAGTCTGAAATTTTATTTGAAAAATAAATATTTTTAATTTCTTCATCTAATTCTGTTTGTACATCTTATTCTGCATTGGCATTTATTGTCAGTCAATTGTTTGCCCTGTATTGTTGATCTTAATTTTACCCCATCTGGAAACCAAATGAAACAGAAAGCCTCGGGTGCCTGGGTGGCTCAGTTGGTTAAGCGACTGCCTTCAGCTCAGGTCGTGATCCTGGAGTCCTGGGATCGAGTCCCACATCGGGCTCCCTGCTCAGCAGGGAGTCTGCTTCTCCCTCTGACCCTCCCCCCTCTCATGCTCTCTCTCTTTCATTCTCTCTCTCAAATAAATAAATAAAATCTTTAAAAAAAAAGATACAGAAAGCCTCAAAATAGCATATAAGAGAGAGAAGTTGTTTGCTTCTCTAGAAACCTACTTTTTTAAAGATTTATTTAATTTTTATTTTAGAGAGAGAGAGAGTGGAGGAGGTTCAGGGGGAGAGGGAGAGAGAAAATCTCAAGCAGACTCCCCACTGAGTGTGGAGTCTGACACAGGGCTTGATCTCATGATGCTGAGATCATGACCTAAGCTGAAATCAAGAGTTGGACGTTTAACTGACTGAACCACATAGGCACCCCTGTAGAAACCTACTTTTTAGAGAATTCTATGAACCTCAAAGGAAATACATATCTGAATTCCACAATTAGGAGAGCCAGTTGCTATTTAAAAGGCATCTTGATCTATCTTGAAATGTGGGTTTGTGACACCTTTATCTCTGTCCTTTCTCAAGATTGCTTTGGCTACTCAGAGTGTTTTGTGGTTCCATATAAATTTTAGGATTATTTCTTCTAGTTCAGTGAAAATATTGGTATTATGATAGAGATTGCTTTGAATCTGTAGATAGCTATGGGCAGTAGGAACATTTTATTTTTTCTGAGCATTTTAATAATATTAATTCTGAAATCACTGAGCATTGAACACCTTTCCATCCAAACTTTGCATCGTCTATTTCTTTCATCAATTCTGTATGATTTTTAAAACACTAATCTTTCACCTCCTTCGTTAAATTTATTCCTAGGGTTTTTTTTGTCTGTGTGCAATTATAAATGGGATTGTTTTCTTAATTTCTCTTTCTGCTACATTGCTATTAGTGTATTTAAACACAAAACATTTCTGTATATTAATTTTGTATCCTGCAACTTTACTAAATATACTTATTAGTTCTAATCATATTTTGGTGAAGTCTCTCTCTCTCTCTCTCTCTTATATATTCTTTATACCTCTTGTTTACATAGTATCATGTAATTTGCAAATAGTGACAATTTTACTTCTTCCTTAACAATTTGGATGGCTTTTATTTATTATTCTTGTCTGATTGCTGCAGCTAGGACTTCCACTATTATGTTGAATAAAAGTGGTAAGAGTGGACATTCTTATGTTTTTCTTGATCTAGAGGAAAGGGTTTCAGGTTTTCACCATTGAGGTTAATGTTAGCTGTGGGTTTTTAGTATACGTTTTTTCTTATGTTCAAGTATGTTCCCTCTAAACCAAGTTGCTGAGAGTTTCTATCATGAACTGATGTTGAATTTTGTCAAATGCTTTTTCTGCATCTATTGAGAGGATTATATGGTTCTGATCGTTTCTTTCATTAATGTGGTGTATCACGTTGACTGATTTGTGAATATCTAACCACACTTGAAGACCAGGAATAAATTCCACTTGATTATGGGGAATGATTCTGTTAATGCACTGTTGAATTTAGTTTGTTAGTATTTTACTGCGGATTTTTGTATCTATGTTCATCAGAGATATCAGCCTCTAGTTTTTGTTTTGTTTTGTTTTGTTTTGTTTTTTTGCAGTGTCTTTGTCTGGTTTTGGTATAAACATGCTGGATTTACAGAATGAATTTGGAGGTGTATCTTACTCTTCAAACTTTTGGAATAGTTTGAGAAGAATAGGTGTTAATTTTCTTTAAGTGTTTGGTAGAGTTCACCTGTGAAGTCATCTGGTCCTTGACTTTTGTTTGTTCGGAGGATTTTCTTTCTTCCTTTTTTTTTTTTTTTTTTTTTTTTTGTTTAATTGTGGATTCAATTCCATTACTAATATTTGGTCTGTTCAGATTTTCTGTTTTTTTTTTTTTTTTTTCTGATTCAGTTTTGGAAGATTATATGTTTCTAGATATCCATTTCCCTTACATTGTTTAATTTATAGGTGTATATTTTTAATTATAATTTCTCATTATATGCAACTAATGAACACTACATCAAAAACTAATGTTGTACTATATGTTGGTTAATTGAGTCTAAATAAATAAAAAATTGCCCTTCCACTCCAAGCTGATCCTGTGGTGGGCAGTGTCCTCAGGGCGGCTCTGTGGAGACGTCCACCCAGGACGGCTCCCCCTCCCTGGGCCTCTCCCCTCTTACCCGTGAGTCCCCTCGCCTTGTGGGCCTATTGGATCTGATATCATGGGGTGAGGTGAAAGCAGGCCCAGAGAGGGTGGTTACCGTTGAAGAGCCGCAGTTGCGGTCAAGATGATAGAGGTGCTGACAACAACTGACTCTCAGAAACTGCTATACCAGCTGAATGCCCTGTTGGAACAGGAGCTGAGATGTCAGCCAAAGGTCTGTGGCTTGATACTAATTGAATCTACACATGATAATGGCCTCAGAATGACTGCAAAGCTAAGGGACTTTGAAGTAAAAGATCTTAGTTTAACTCAGTTCTTTGGCTTCGACACGGAGACATTTTCTTTTGCTGTGAATTTACTGGACAGACTCCTGTCCAAAATGAAGGTACAGTCCAAACACCTAGGGTGTGTTGGGCTGAGCTGCTTCTATTTGGCTGTTAAATCAATAGAAGAGGAATGGAATGTCCAATTGACAACTGACTTGATCCAAATAAACCAATATAGATTCAAGGTTTCAGACTTGATGAGAATGGAAAAGATTGTATTGGAGAAGGTGTGTTGGAAAGTCAAAGCTACTACTGCCTTTCAATTTCTGCAACTCTACTATTCAATCATTCAAGAAAACTTACCAATTAAAAGGAGGAATAGCCTTAATTTTGAAAGACTAGAAGCTCAACTTAAGGCATGCCACTGCAGGATCATATTTTCTAAAGCAAAGCCTTCTGTGTTGGCATTATCTATCATTGCACTGGAGATCCAAGCACAGAAGTGTGTAGAGTTAACAGAAGTAATAGAATGTCTTCAGACACATTCCAAGATAAATGGCAGAGATTTGACCTTCTGGCAAGAACTTCTATCCAAGTGTTTAACTGAATATTCATCAAACAAGTGTTCCAAACTAAATGTTCAGAAGTTGAAAAGGATTGTTTCTGGACATACTGCATGGCAATTGAAGCATGGTTACTACAGAATAACCCACCTTCCAACAGTTCCTGAAATGGTTCCTTAATTGGATTGTTATAGCAACAAAAAGCTCTTCTCTGAAGCATTTCTCCACAATCCTGAGCTATGGATTTCATAGTGTTATAATGGATTTAAGCTGTGAAGCCTCAGAACATCACAACTAGATTAGCATTAATGTTCTCAGATTTGGGATAACTACCTTATTAACAAGCTGTAGTGGAATTCAATTAAATTTGAATTCATCTGTGAGGCATACAAATCAAAGCTAAGAGCATAAATGTGAAATGTTAATAACAAGCCTGGGAAGGTAAACTGTAAATCTTCTCTTCTAACATTGACCCAACCTTCTATATTGGGTCAGTATATTGTATTTAGGTGTTATTAAAAGTGGTAACCTAATTAAATTCTAAATTATGAGGTATACATCAAAACCAACATTTCACAAATGCACTTTTAAGGCATAACAAGGGTCACTATTCTAGGCAGTGAAAATGGTTTCTTGGTATCTATAGTGCAAGTAATAGATAATTCAGAGATTGGACTTTATTGATACTTGGGAATTACACTTAAATTTGAGGGCATTTTGGGCGCCTGGGTGGCTCAGTTGGTTAAGCGACTGCCTTCGGCTCAGGTCATGATTCTGGAGTCCCGGGATCGAGTCCCGCATCGGGCTCCCTGCTCAGCAGGGGGTCTGCTTCTCCCTCTGACACTTCCCCCTCTCATGTGCTCTCTCTCTCTCTCAAATAAATAAATAAAATCTTTAAAAAAAATTGAAGGCATTTTATAAAAGCAAAACTACATGCCTAGTCATTTTGGCATATTACGTTATTTTTAATATTTTTTCTAAAAAACAGGTGATGTTTATATCTATGATAAAATTTACACAATATCTACTGCCTCCATCTAATCCCATCAAGAAAATTTCTTTTTATTGTGTTAGTAAATCAAAATAGCTACACTCCAAAAACTTGCTGATTCAACACTCCAGAGGTTTTTACTAGGAGCTGTTTTTATAAAAACTGCTATTGCTTCTAATTTAGAATTCTTAAAGGAAGAGAATATACTTTCACTAATTGCCCCTCCTGTGCCAAAAGAAAGTCTAAAAAAGTAAGTAGGCATCTTCATAATTATAAAGTTGTTAAGGTAGTATTCGAGATTTTCTATTAAGTCAGTGACTGTAAGGAGATCTACAGCATTAAAAGTGTTGTAGGGGCGCCTGGGTGGCTCAGTTGTTAAGCGTCTGACTTCGGCTCAGGTCATGATGCCAGGGTCCGGGATTGAGCCCCGCATCGGGTTCCCTGCTTGGCAGGAAGCCTGCTTCTCCCTCTCCTGCTCCTCCTGCTTGTGTTCCCTCTCTCGCTGTGTCTCTCTCTCTATCAAATAAATAAATAAAATCTTAAAAAAAAATGTTGTAAACAGTTACTCAGTGCAGCAAGTAGCCTGAGTCCATCCATAATGGCCGTACCCAATTTTGACACCATGTTATGGGTAAATGTGCACTGGAAAATAAACCAAAGAAACACAATATATCTTATACTTCTGTGAACTGTGTTTTGTGGATAACTTCAGTTTTCCAAAAGGCTGATATATTTCAATAATTTAACTACATCAGGGTTAATTCTGAGTTGGCAGAGGTAGCTTAATCAACTACCATTATGTTTTGGTACTAAGGGATATACCTTTCAAGGTTATTGAAATGCAATAAATAAATAAATAAATAAATAAATAAATAAATAAATAATAAATAATTTTAAAAATTTCTCATACCCTTTGTATTTCACCTTTGCTTTTACTTCTCTTTTATTTCTCAACTTATTTACTTGAGTTCTCTTTCTTTTTGATGAGCATAGATAAAGGTTTATTTTGTTTATTTCTTCAAAGAACGTCTTTTGGTTTCATTGATTTTTTGTTGTTGCTGTTTTTTAGTCTTCTTTTCATCTATTTTTTTCTAGTCTTTATTATTTTCTATTTTCTACTGGCTTTGGGCTCCTTTCCTTTTTCTTTCTAGTTCTCATAGGTGGAAATTTAGATTATTTATTTAATGTTTTTCTTTGTTTTTTGAGATAGGCATTTATTACTATTAACTACCCTCTTTAAACTACATTCACTACACTCTTGATTTTGGACCTCTGTGGGAACAGTTTGAAAAGCACCTGGGATATACACAAATATTTATTGGCTAATCTTAGAACATGTGTCAAAAGGGCAAGGATTTGCAGATTTCTCCAGAAATAAAAGTGCTGTTGGACACCATTTATATCCCCCTCGTCCAGCCTTGAAAGCTAGATGATCTCAAGAGCCAGCACTAACATTTATTTTATTTATTTGACAGAGAGACAGTGAAAGCAGTTACACAAGCAGGAGGAGTGGGAAAGGGAGAAGTAGGCTTCCCGCCGAGCAGGGAGCCCGATGTGGGGTTCAATTCCAGGACCCTGGGATCATGACCTGAGCTAAAAGCAGATGCTTAATGACTAAGCCACCCAGGTGCCCCAGCACTAACATTTTCTATCTACTTTGCTACCACCTCATGCCCTGCCGCAGCATTTTCTTACACACACTCAATCAAACAATGCCTGCCTTGACAAATGTTGCTCCAATGTGACTCCTGGCATTACCGCAGGCAGTCCAGGCCAGGACCAGTGAAACTCTAAAGTGAGTCCTACTCCGGTAAGGGGGGTCAGATAAGCCTTCCCAGCAGCATGTCTATAGTTCACAAAGCCAGGCCTCCTATCTACCTGTTCAGGGAGCAAGCCCCACCATTTCATGTACGTGCATCTGTAGCAGAGAGACTAGTTGCAGACTGCCAGGCTGATTGCCAAGCCTTGCCCACCAGTGAGTCCATAATAACCACAAACAGACCTCTTAACTGTGCAGGGAGTAAACCTTGCCCAGTGCATACATAGCAGGAAAAGTGGGTCATTATAGCCAGTTTGACTGAAGGCAATCATGGCTCAATCACAAGAGAAGGGTATGAGAAGTCTACAAAAAGGACACCTCTGGATCTTACATTCTGGTGACTAGGGGAAATTGCACTAAAGTGAACGAATAAATTCAAGACAAAACTACTACTTTCAAGAAGAGGAGACATACATGACCTAACACAGAGAAACAGGGAGTTAGACAAATAAGAGAATAAAGGGCTGTGTCCCAAATGAAAGAACAAGACAAAAATCACAGTAAAAGAGCTATAGGAAGGGAAGTTAAGCAATATGCCCAACAAAGAATTCAAAGTAATGGTCATAAAGATAGTCAATGGATTTGAGAAAAGAGTAGATGAAGTCAGTGAGAACTTCAACAGAGATAGGAAATACAAGAAAGAACCAGACAAAGATGAAGACTTCAACACCTCAAATAAAAAAAGGTACCAAAGGGAATCAATAGCAGATTAGAGGATTCAGAATGGATCACCTATCTGGAAGATAGGGTAATGGACAGCAACCAAGATGAAAACAAAATAAAAAAGAATATGGGTGATGGGTATTAAGGAGGGTGCTTACTGTGATGAGCACTGGTTGTTATATGTAAGTGATGAATCACTAAATTCTACTTCTGAAGCCAATATTACACTATATGTTAACTAACAAGAATTTTAATAATAATTAAAAAAGAATTAAAAAAATGAGAATAGATTAAGGGAAATCAACAACATCCCCAAGGTTAATAACATTCACATTCTAGTGTTCCCAAAAGGAGAAAGGAGTGAGAGAAGGGAGCAGAAAATATATTTGAAAAAATAATAGTTGAAAACTTCTCGAATCTGTGAAAGGAAACAGACATCCATGTCCAGGAAGCACAGAGACCGCCTAAAAAAGATAACCCAAAGAGGTCACACCAAAATACATAATAATCAAAATGGCAAAAATAAAGTTGAAGCAACAAGGGAAAATGAAACAGTTACATACAAGGGAAACCCCATAAGGCTCTCAGCTGATTTTTTCAGCAGAAACTCGGCAGGCCAGAAGAGAGTGGCATATATTAAAAGTGCTGAAAGGGAAAACAAAAAACTTGAATACTTAACCTGGCGAGGTTATTATTTAGAATGAAAGGAAAGATCGTTACCCTAATTAAAACAAAAGAAAAGGTTAACACAATTTATTACCCTGAACCAGCCTTATAAGAAATGTCAAAGGGAATACGTTAAGTGGAAAGAAAAGTCCATAATAAAAGTGAGAAAATTATAACAGGAAAAAATTTCACAAGTAAAACCAAACATATAGCAAAGTAGTAAACTTATCATTCATAAAGACATTATGAAGATTAAAACACAAAAGTAGTAAAATAAGTTGTATCTACAAAACTTAGTCAATGGAGGCAGAAAACAAAAAAAAAGATGTAAAATATGGCATCATATACATAAAATATGAAAGTGGGAGTGAAAATTTATGCTTTTAGATTTTGTTTGAACTTAGGTGACCATCAACTTAGTGTAGAATGCTATACACATAAGATGTTATAGATAAATTTTATGTTACCACAAATAAAAAATCTGTAATAGATTCACAAAAAATAAAGTAGGAATCAGAGCATATCACTAAAGAAAGCAAACCACAAGGGAAGAGAAAACAACAAGAAGAAAGGAAAAGAGAACTACATAAACAACCACAGAGCAAATAACAAAATAACTGTACACCGTTCAATAATTAAAATGTAAATGCACTAGAGTTACCTGGGTGGCTCAGTCAGTTAAGCACCTGCCTTCAGCTCAGGTCATGATCCCAGGGTCCCATGATCAAGCTCTGCTCAGTGAGAAGCCAGCTTCTCCCTCTCCCTCTGCTTCTCCTCTAGCTTGTGTTTTCTCTCTCTCTGTCAAATAAATAATGTATTTTTAAAAAGTAAATGCAATAAATGCTCCAACCAAAAAACAGGGTGAAAGATTGGATTTAGAAAAAATATATATATCTATATGGCGCCTACAAGAGATTCACTTCAGGCCTAGAGACATACACATTGAAAGTGAAGGGATGGAAAAACAAACAAAAGTGAAAAACAAGTGAGGACAGTAATATTTATATGAGACAAAATAGACTTTAACAGATAGGAAGAGACAAAGAAGGACACCACATGATGACAAAAGAATTGAAGAGGTTACTTTCAATGTTCTCCTCTAGGACTTTGATGGATTCTTGTCTCACATTGAGGTGTTTCATCCATTTTGAGTTTATCTTTGTGTATGGTGTTAGAGAATGGTCGAGATTCATTCTTCTGTATATAGCTGTACAATTTTTCCAGCACCATTTATTGAAGAGACTGTCTTTTTCCCATTGCATATTTTTTCCTGCATTGTTGAAGATTATTTGACCATAGAGTTGAGG